TAACCTGGGACACAGCGCCACTTGTCCATCATTCCTACTTAAATTAACCCCAGCATTAAAGCTATATATCACAGTTACTAGTCTCTTTGCTAAGGACAGGTATAGAAAATACATTCCCTTGTGGGCTAGAGGGATTGTGGTTGAGCAGAGTTATTGATGACCACAGCTAAACTCTGTATGCAAGTTGATGCTGGAAAGCCACATGTTATTGGAAAAAACAAGAGGAAGTTAGTCCAAAATGACCAATTCCAACGCAAAACAGTTTCTAGGGCATTTAATCAAAAAAGTAGTCATATTATTTGTTCAGCCTGGTCTCAAGTTCTGTGCCAACTTCTGTTGGTGTTCAGTCAGGCAAGAGTCTCCGGCATTAGAGAACCTGCAAGAGAGACCAAAAGAGGCCAGTGTGATCTCAGAGTATGTGATGATCGCTATGTGAGCTTATTCAGCACATTTCTCAACTGCCTCTAAAAAAAAGAGTGTCTGTGCAGACTCAAATGCACAGATGTCTAATTGAAATGGCTACTTTTCACATTCGTCAGTTCCGCAAACCAGTTTACCACATCTGTACAAACATTTTGTGCTGTCCCAGTGCATAGGTGGTTTGGGATTTAAATAAGCAGCTGGAGGCAGGGCGTGCTTTCTGGTAACAGTTCTGTCTTAAATGTGTGTCATAGCCTTAGAGAGCGAGCCCAGCAGTAAAAACATCCTTCCCTTCCCTTCTGCTGAATACCACATGAGGAATTACCACTGTCAGGTGTAATGTGGCTCATTTGTAATTCACAATTTTATGTGTCAGTGTAGGTGAATCTAATCTTTACTAGGAATCAGGTTCAAAGCTTTATACCAATTCTAGATAAGTTGCCAGGGTCTCAACTATAGGACTAACACCCTTTCCTAATAGAATGCATAAGATGGCTCTTCCTAGAACACGAGCTTTTAGAAGTATTAATATTTACATTATTTTTATCTTCTTGGTTTGCAGTCCATTGAGGTGATATTTTGGAGGTTTTCTCTAGAACCAATAGGATTAAAAACCTGCTTCAAAAAGGACATCTCTCAGATCTTGTCACAATGATATGATTGCAAGAGCTGTAAGACACACACAGAAAATATGAATCTCATAAAAAGATTGTGAAAGTTTGGCTTTGTGTGTTTTGGCAAGCTTCCAATAGTACAGAAAGAACCTGATTCTGCCTGGTGTTAATAGAAGTACAGATGTGCACACAGCGAGCTTCTACTTCCTCATGCTATCTTTTGAAGACCCAGGCGGATTTCCAGGTCCTTCTGTTTACTGGAAATAGCTCCCTCCCTGCACCTTTAGAGTGATGCATAGTGTGTCAAGTGAGAGAAGAAGGAAAGTGAGGATCTTTGCACGTGCTGGTAAGCAGGCACTACAAGGCTATGCAGGGATAAAAGCCAGCCCATAAAGAGAAACAGCTCCTGCATGTGCTTTGCCTGTCTGCTGGAGAGGGAATTCTTTATTACTGAAATACAAGCATTGCAACTCCTGGGACAACAGGAGTCTAAAATCTTCCTTGCAGCTGCATTTGCCTAGAAGGTATGGTTATACCAAATATCTTTTCCAAAAAACTTCAGAATACTGAAAACGTTTTATTTTGCAGTTACCTAGAGACTACTATATGGGAATCGCAAAGCTGTGTATGAGAGAATAATTAGATACATTTCACAACATCCCCATGAGGGAAGTCACTAATTACAGTAGTTTGTTGAAATTAAAATAAGTGTAATAATGGTTGCTAGTGACTATGGTATTATTGCAATTCTATATTGCTACACTTCAGGCTATGACTGTATCAAATCTCACAAGCCAAGAGGGTTGGGTCTGGATGGCATATGAATAGAAAATGAAGAGCTGAATTAGACAATTGTGATTTCTCAAGAAGTTACATGCTTCTTATTGATTTGGCCTGGAACATATGTTGTGGTGCTTTGGTGTCAGGAAACACCCTGGAGCTTTAAGGCTCTGTTTTGACTCAGAGATAAAACCTAAGGCCTCTCTTGATCAACTGTAGCTATATAAAAATCCCATATTTCTGCAGGATTTCCCCATAGAGACTGATGATTTTGTAAGACTAATTATGTTGGTCATGACAGCATGGAAAAATCCCAACTCAGAAACTTGCATCTGCTCTTTATCTACTCTTCCGAAATGTGAAATTATCTTCTCTCACATTTAAGTACTGTTGGGAAGTATTACTGACACCAATGATGAAATATTTCCATTTTAGAGCTGGCTCCATCTCAGTAGTGGAAGAATTAATCTTTTCATACGCATGAACTATAAAGTCATCTGTTATAATAGTGGATATGTATAGAAAATCCATAAATGCGAGGTAACAATGTTCTTTGGTAATGGCAATGCAGCTTTAGGTTCTGCATAGATTAACTAACTGATATTTTAACTTGTAACAAAAATGTATCAAACTTTTTTTTTCATTCTAGCTAAAAATGATGATAAATTGTAAAACAGATGTACAGAAAGAGGAACCTGGTTGCCAAACGACTACAGAATTTTGCTCATCTGTATAAATCGCACAGTGACTTAGGAGGGCTGTTAGATTTTGGAAATGGGTGAGCTGGCAGAGGTGAGGGAATATCAAACCCTCTGCAGTTGCAAGCTGTCTCCAGCTGGATGCACCGCGGACAAAGCTGGTGCACAGAGGACGCACTGACGGCATAAGAGCAAGGCAGCCAGTGGCGAAGAGGAGTAAGCTTGCCTTGTAGCTAAGATATATGACTGTCCTTTTCATGTCCCCGATGGAGGGACCAGCTGAGCCGATCAGCTGGGCCAGTGCTGATAGCAGCAGCATCAGACGCCCTGGAGCAGGCTTCAAACGTGCCAAGGGGTGAGGCTTCACAACACGGCTGCCTGACACCAAAAGGGGTAGCGGCACTCTCCTCTTCCTTAGCAAACCTTCCTGGCCGCTCGGTCGCGCTTCCTCTTTCTGCCAGCCCTGGCACCCGGGGTGCTGCGCGCCCCTTCAGCCCGCTCAACTGGCTGCTGCTTTTCTGCAGCTTCTCCTCGCTTCTTCCTCTTCCGTTTCTACAGTGTAAGCTGCCTACGTACTGCTAGGAACCCCATCCTTTATTTTACGTATTCTACATGGCTTTAAATTCTAATCAGCAGGTAAGACGAAGTCAGAGGCCATTCAAAGCCTTCCCCCTGTCTTGCTCCCCCTGCTCACAAGTCACATCTGTAAAATCTGTCTTTGAGTGGGCCGGGCAGTCTCGTAAAAGGCATGATCTCCCCTGGTAGAAAAGCCAGGCTGTGTGCGAGGGAAGGCAGGAACTGGTCGGACGCAGCGTGGGTCTCTCGTGCTGCAAACTGCCGCAGGTGAGCACCTCGCTGTGCCCCTGCTGCTGGTAGGCCGAAAGGCTTGCAGGAAGCGGGAAAGTTGGGTCTTCCGCTTCGGTCCTCTGGGGAAGGACAAGCAGGGCTTCGGCACCTCCGGGGTCACGCAGCCACCGCCCTGCCCCGTAACGCCTGTTGCATCTGTGAGCAGTCGTTTTGTGTTCACGTGCTACGCTTGACGTTTTACCTCTGACTCCCGCAGTTGAACCGATGACGGCAGAATCCAGATTGTCACAGGCGGTAATCGTTCGACCTTTTTAGGGTTGTTTCGAGCCCTGCTACCTTACCGCCCTCCCCGGTCCCTGCTGCGGTGGAGGGGGGGG